GATGTTGACGGAAGGAGATCCATAGCCTTCCAGATGTTGACGGAAGGAGATCCATAGCCTTCCAGATGTTGACGGAAGGAGATCCATAGCCTTCCAGATATTGCCAGACCAGCAGCCTTCCAGGTGTTGATGGAAGATCTATAACATTCCAGATGTTGAAGTTCTGCAGCTTTCCAGGTGTTGACAGAAGGATATCTGCGGCCTTCTAGACGTTGCTGGAAGATCTGTAGCCTTCCAGGTGTTGATGGAAAGAGATCTATAGCTTTCCAGATGTTGCCGGAAGGAGATCCGTAGCTTTCCAGATGTTGATGAAAGGAGGTCTGCAGCTTTCCAGATGTTGATGGAGGGCAGATCCCTTTGTCTCTTGTTGACAGTTTCCTTGCTGGTCACCTCCCTTCAAAAGCTATGTAGGATTACAGGCCCTATCATCCCAAAATGGGAATTGTAGTCCCTTTGGGAGATGGCAGCCCTCATTTTTAGCGGTCAACTGGCTATCAACTCTTGTTCAATCAAACGGCAGAATATTTGAATATAGTTTTTTTTTGTTTTTTTTGCATGCCTCTTCCAAGGAATTGTATTCAAACAATTGTGTTCTTTGGAGCGATGAAACCACCGTGAATATCTGTGCACAGGCCACAGGTTTAATGTACGTGAGAACCCGTACATCATCCAGAATTAAGGCGGGGACCAGAACGTAGAATCTGGGCTCCACTACAGTAGATCCTATTTAAGGCCTACACAATTACAAAAAAAGGCCTTAAAAATTGCACAACAACAAACACACAAAAGCCGCAAGGACGCCTTGGTTAACACCCTGCGGGCTCAAAACTTTGTGGTTTTGTGAAAAAGCAGCTAGAAAAAAAAAACTTTAAAAAAGCACCATGTTTACTAGTAGTCCTCGATTTACAACAGTCCCTTTTGCGACAGTTCAAAGTTACTACGGCACTAAGAGAAAAGGGACTGACGACTGTGTTTCACACTTAATGACAGTTGCAGCATCGCCATCATCACGGGATGCTTAGCAACTGACTCATAGTTACAACGGTCGCAGTGCTCCACAGTCATGCGATCCCCTTTTGCGACCTTCTGACAAGCGAACTCCATGGGGAAGATGGATTCACTTAACGACTGTGCCGCTAACTGAACGACTGCAGGGATTCACTTCACGGTGGCAGCAAAAGAGGTCATAAAACGAGGCAAAGTTCACTTAACAAATTGCGGTTATAAGTTGAGGACTTTTGTAAACCTCAGGAGCATGTAAGTATAGAATAAAGCATTAAAAAAGGGGGGGAGAAAAAAGTCGCAATATGGTAGACAAAAGACATAACACAGGCAGTCCTCAATTTATAACCGTATGTTTAGTGGTCGTCCAAAGTTATGTCACCGAAAAAAGGGATTTACAACTGGTCCTCACACTTACAACGGTTGCAGCATCTTGGGGGCAGGGTCACGTGATCACCATTCCTGACCTTCCCAGCTGACTTCCAACATGCAGAATTAATGGAGGAAGCGAGATTCACTTAATGATCGCCTGATTCTCTTAACAACGGCAGAGATTCAGTTACTGTGGTAAAAACAGGTCAAATAAAGGTGTGACTCACTTAAGAGACAACTTGTTTAACAATGGTAATATGGTAATAAGTCAAGGATTATGTGTGTGTTTGTGTGTGTGTGTGTGTGTTTTCAAGTTTTCTTAAGTGTGTGCATATATATATATATGTATGTACATATGTATGATATATATATATATATATATATATATATATATATATATATATATATATATATATATGCGTGCGC